GTATTCAATGATATACATATATATATATATATATATATATATATATATATATATATATATATATATATATATATATATAATATATAAATAAGATCTGCTATTTGCTATATGTATGGGTAAAAAAAGTACTCAATATCTGGTATAGAGTGTATGTGGATACAAAAGTGGACCCAGATCAATATCGATCAGTGACAATCTGTTTCATGCTTGAAAGTTGTCTGTATTTTTTAAATATTTTACATATTATTTAAAATAATTATCAAACATTTAATATTTTTAAGAGTATAATTAATTATTTTAATATTAGAATTAATTATTTAAATGTTTTTAATTTTGTTTAAAATAATTAACAAAATTTTAATATTTTTCAATATTTTTTCATATTATTTACAATAAACAAGTTTTGAATATTTTTAATATCATTTAAAATAATTAACAAACCTTTATTATTTTTAATATTTAAAATAATTAAAAACCTTTAATATTTTTTTAAAAGTTTTTTTATATTATTTAAAATAATTGACAGACAATGATATTTTAATATTATAATTAACAAACCTTTAACATTTTTTGATATATTTTAATATTATTTAAAATTATTAACAAAACATTAATATTTTGATACATTTTTAATTAATTAAGAAACCTTTAATATTTTTTAATAATTTTTAATATTATTTAAAGTAATTAACAAACATTTAATATTGTGTAACTTTGAGAACAAAGTGTATAATTGTACAAATAATTACGTAAGATAATTCTGCGTTATGTAGAAATCTGAAAGGAGGAAAAAAAAGAAATATATTGGAATAACGTTGAAGGATTTCAGCACAGGCAAGCAAAAGCTTTCCACCGTTTCACTCCGTTTTTAATTTCCTCCTTACGCCAGAGGAAAGAGTGCGCGCATTTAAAATGCATTGCGAAATCGAATGATTGACATATTTAGTTTTATTCTTCTACCTTTATAAGCTGGGATATTTGAGAGGAGAGTAGGAACGAGGCTCTCACAGGATTTATTGTAATAGAACGTGAGGGGACAGACCTTGCTATCTTTACTTTGTTATCGTACATCCGATCAAATTTTTTTTGTTCATCCAATATGGAGGCACGAGTAGAGCAGATGCAAAAGCAAGCATAGAAAACAAAAAGAAACGAAACAAAACGGAACGAAACAAAATGAAACGAAAATGCCCAAGAATGAACAAGAGCAAACCAAGAAATGAATCTGATAAAGCATTTTTGGGATGAATAAAGCAAAAGATTTCAAAATGATAAGGTGCATTATAATAAATAAATGAACAAAAATATATGAAGACTTCGCAAGATAGCATCAACGACAACGTTAATGGCAATATACAGCCATTTATTTATGAGGAAACATTCGGCATTCATTGACCGAGCAAACTTTTCGACACGAATCATGGGTTTCTTTACTCCCTGTCCATCGGACTGGGATCACAGTGTAGTATCTGTTCCCTTCATCACTTATGCTAATGGTATTATTAGCCGTTTTCTTTTTAGGAAACATTTGGCATTCATTAACCGAGTAGCCAGTACTACTCGAGCTAAGCTTTTCTTAACTCCCTGGTCATCAGGATGGGATCACATCTGTTCTTTTAATCTCTAATCTTAATGTTATTATTACTCGTTTCCTTATAAGGAAATATTAGGCATTCACTAACCGAGCAACCAGTGCTACTCGAGCTAAGTTTTCTTCAATCCCTGGCTATCGAACTGGGATCACAGTGTAGTATCTGTTCTCCTCATCTCTTAGGCTAATGGTATTATTAGCCGTTTCCTTATAAGGAAACTTTCGGCATTCATTAACAGAGCAGCCAGTGCTACTCGAGCTAAGATTTTCTTAAAACCCTGGCCATTGGGCTAGGATCACAGTGTAGTATCTGTTCTTCTAATATCTAATGCTAATAGCATTATTACCCGTATCCTTACAATTAAACATTCGGCATTCATTGACCGAGCAGAAAATGCTTATCGAGTTACGCTTTCCTTCACTCTCTTGCCATCGGACTGAGATCACAGTGTAGTATCTGTTCTTGTAATCTCCAATGCTAACGGTATTATTAGCCGTTTTCTCAGAAGGTAACATTCGACATTCATGAACGAACAGCTACTGCTACTCGAGTTAGGCTTTTCTGCACTCCCTGGCCACCGGGCAGCGATCAAAGTGTAGTAGCTGTCATCCTCTCTAATGCTAATAGTAATATTAGCCGTTTCGTTATAATAGAACATTCGACATTCATGACCAAACAGCCAATGTTACGATTCTTAACTTCCTGGGCATCGGGAGAGGATCAAAGCGTAGTTTCTGTTCACTTTGTCTCCAATAGTAATGGGAATAAAAGCTGTTTCCTTCTAAAGACACATTCAGCGTTCAATGAACAAGCAGCCAGTGCTACACGACTTACGCTTTTCTTCACTCCTTTGTCATCAAGCAGGGATCAAAGTGTAGTAGCTGTTCGCATCTCTAATGTTAATATTGGCCGTTCCAATATATGGAAACATTCGCTATCCATTGCTACTCAAATTACTTTTTTTCTTCATTTCCTTACCATTGGGCTGGGATCAAAGTTTAGTGACAGTTCTCCTTGAATAGTAATTGTAATATACAGTCGTTTCCTTATAAGGAAACATTCAGCATTCCTTGATCGAAGGTTTTGAGTTGCGCTTTTCTTTACCTGATCATCGACTTTAGATTTAAAGTGTATGTGTTCTCTTCATCTCTAATGGTAATATATGACGATTCTTAAAAGAAATCGGGTATTGAGCGAACAGCCCATGCTACTCGAGTTATGTTTTCTCTTCAGTGCATGGTCATCAGGCTGGGATCAAAGTGTAGTATCTGTTCTCCTCACCTCTAATGCTTATGGTACTAGTAGCCGTCTATTATTTCTAATTGGAATGGTAATGTTAGCTGTTCCTTTATATGGAAACATTTGCTATTCACTGACCGAGCAGCCATTATTGCTTTCGTATTAAATTTATAAAACCTTTCTCTTAAAACAATTATTCAGGAAAACAGTTCTCTCAAGTCCAGTAGATGTTATCGCTCTTTCCAGTATTGATATTAGCCTTTTCCCTATAAGGAAACATTTGGCATTCATTGACCGAGCAGCCAGTACTGCTTTCGTATTAAATTTATAAAATATTTCTCTAAAAAAAATTATTCAATTAAACAGGTCTCTCAAATGTTATCGTTCTTTCAAGTATTTTATTAGCTGTTTCCCTACAAGGAAACATTTGGAATTCATTTAGGGAGCAGCCAGTACTGCTTACGGTTGAAATCAATAATTTAAAGGGGAACAGATTTCTTCAGTTCTGTATCTCTTAATATTCTTACCGAATTTGTTTGTGTCGGGGGGGGGGGGTCACTACTGCAACCCTAACAAATGCTACCAGCGCGGGTGAGGGTGGACCTGGGAACAACGGAGAGTAAGAATGCTTCCACCCTCCTCAAAACCTCCATTCGCGTTTAGTAATGATTAATTTCCCTTTTGGTGAAGCAATTGTAATGAAAAATGTATCATCCTATCCCGCCATTACTTAAATATCTCACAACAGGCGATGAAAAGTGGATTATATACAACAATATCTAACGCAATATTTGCATTATTTACATTATTCAAACTGTTATCCTTAACTTCATTACCACGTTCACGACGTTTCGGCCGTTGTACGCTTAGGCCTTCTTCAGGTTTTTCGAATTTCGAACTGAACCCTTTAATTCGTCCACCAGGGTAGATTGTTCTAGTTCCACCTGCCATGCCTCTTCCGGATATTATTTCCCGTTAACTCAATTCTCCAAGTTCACCTGAAGAAGGTCCATTAAGGTGGATAACTGCGTTGGTTAAATCCAATGACGAGACCCAAAGCGTTGTGAGTTCAATACCAGGCCACAGCAGTGGTGAACCAAAAAAATTGTAGAGATGAATGAAAAGTATCCTACCAAAAAGTAATGAGAACAAAAGAACAGGTAATACAGTAATACAATACATAATATATTGGATTCGGTTTATTCAAATTCACTGACGCTGTCACCCATCGAGAAGGCCTCATTTCCAAATTGTACGAGTTCTTGTCTTGCATTTGAAATAGAGAATTACACCCTTGTTCAAATTAATTGAAAAAAAAAACGAACGATTCCGTTTTTATTTCGTTTTTTTTCTGATGAAACATGAGCCAGTGCACAGGTTAGTACTTCGTATGTCCATTCCACGAAGTCGTTCCTTACGTATTGAACACAGATTCTCGATTGGGTTTAAATCAGGAAAGTTTCAGGACAATCTATAGTACTTTTCTTTGCTCACTGTTAAGGCTTGCCAATGTATTCTTGTAGTGTTACAATTTTCGTACGCCTCTTTGGAGTAAAGTCCATCGCAGGTAATTGTCTTAGGACCACTAATCGACAGTCGAGACAACAATTTCTGGGCCTGATGAAAATTTAATGCAATCACGGATGACGCATTTCCAAACTGTAGGAGTTCTTGTCATGCATCTGAGAATAGAGAATTACACCCTTGTGCAAAATAATTGAAACAAAACGAACGATTCCGTTTTTTTTTTTTAGCCATCATTTTTCCAATGAAACATGACCCAGTGCACATGTTAGTACTTCAGTATGTCCATTCCACGAAATCCTTCCTTAGAGATTGACCACAGATTCTCGATTGGATTTAAATCAGGAGAGTTTCCTGGTCAGTCTATCTATCCCAGCCTGTTCATATCTATCTATCTATCTATCTATCTATATATATATATATATATATATATATATATATATATATATATATATATATACTCCTCAAATTAATTAAAATAAAACGAATAATTCCGTTATTATTTAGATTTTATTCGTATTTTTCCAACGAAACATGACCCAGTACACATGTTAGTACTTCAGTATGTCCATTCCACGAAGTCGTTCCTTGGAGATTGAACACAGATTCTCGATTGGATTTCAATCAGGAGAGTTTCCGGGCCAGGCTATCTACCCCAGCCAGTTCATATCTATCTATCTATCTATCTATCTATCTTGGTCTGTTCATATCTATCTATCTATCTATCTATCTATCTATCTATCTATCTACAACCTTGTGCAAATTATTAATATTCCTATTCATAACGAATATTTCCGTTATTTTTCTTCGTATTTTTCCAATGAAACATGAGCCAGTGCACATTTTAGTACTTCGTATATCCATTCCAAGAAGTCGTTCCTTGGAGATTGACCACAGATTCTTGATTGGATTTAAATCAGGAGAGTTTCGGGACAATATATTACTTTTATTTGCTCCCTGGTAAGGCTTGCCAGTGTGTTCCTGCAGCGTTACAATTTTCGTACGCTTCCTTCAATTAATGTCCATCACAGTCAATGGCCGTTGGAAAACTAATCTACTGTTGAGACAATGCTGTCTGGGCGTTTAATTACGCCTATTCTTGTTGCATTAATACAACTTTATACTCCTAAAAAGATCTTTGCATATCATTTCAACCTCTTGAAATTAATTGAATCCTTTTCTAAGAATTAATTTGTGCAATTGTTGAGGAAGAAGAGATAGACTTATTATTTTCTAATCTTTTCACCCCGGATACGGCAATAAAGCCACTAAGACGCAACGAGTCAAAAACTCAGAAACAATATGAGGAAAGAAAACATTATTAAGGAGAGAGAACAATAAAAGAATAAAAATTAAGAAGTGATAAGATAACGATTGATATTTCTTCTAAATTTTTGAAAATCAAATTTGACTGAAAAGCATATTTCACATGCGAGAATTGTTAGCATAGAACTTACGGTTCCATCTAGTCACTTCAAATTGTAAAATGGTGAGACCTAACCGCCAAACTAGTACTGCGCTTAAATTCATAAAATCTACGTACCATAGAGAAAAGTTCATCAGAACAATTGACATGAGAGTATTTATAGAAAAGACACAGGAAAATACGTTACGGCTGCTGGAAAGAGACTGATGGAGACATGCCAGGTCAGGGCCAATAACATTGCAGATTCTTTGGATTTTTATTAAGAATCTCTAAATATATAACAGAAGCAACAGACCAGGGGCTAATGTGTATGAAAGAATATGAGAAAAAGAAAGACGTAAATAAGGAGAAAGTGAGAACAATAAAAGAAAAAGAATGAAGAAGACAGAAGATAACGATTGACATTGCATTTAAATTAAATTAACTAAAAAGCAACGAGCCGGAAGAGAGTTCCACCAGCAAAAGAAAAAAAAACTGTTAGCGTACAACTTACGGCTACAGATATCCATTTCAACTATAAACAGATGAGACCTAACCGCCAATCTAGTACTCCGCGTAAATTAAGTCTACGTATCAAAGAGGAAACTTCATCAGAACAATTACAATGAAAATATTTATAGAAAAGGCAGCGGGAAGCGACGTTACGGCGATGGGAAAGTGAGTGAAGCCGAGATGCCAGGTCATAACCGATAATATTGCAGATTCTTCCTTATCTAGCAATGTACAGCTGAGTTTTATCAGTAGATAATAGATAGTATTCTGGTGTAAGGGTGAATAGTCAGTTATATGCCATGCGTGATACACGCTTAGGAGATCATGTATCTTTCGTTATATGACTAACGAGGTAGATTTTTCGGCAGAATTTTGCTATTTCTTTCTGTAGACCATCCAATGCTATAGAACCCGGTCTGTCCTGCTATTTACCCATATCTGGGCCCGGGGGAGAAGAAGAATACCTTTCCCAGGGGTATTAGCACGTAAGTGAATGTAATGGATTCGACTGGAATTCGAACTCGGCTCTCCGATGCTTCATGCTTCGGTTTACTTTCCAGCTTAGGCTTCGTCAAGCACCAAAACTTCGAACTCTCTGCCCGAAGGCAGAGAGAAAGCCAGACGAGAATCTGCCAAACTCGACCCCATGTATGCGGGGTGTACGGAGAAATTTTACCCGAGCCTACATTAGCACGTAAGTGAATGTAATGAACTCGACTGGAATTAGAACTCGGCTCTCCGATTTCTGTATCCGAGCCAAAATCCATTACTCCACCGTGCCTCTTCAGGCCAGATGAGTTGGATTCATGCCTTTCCCAAGGGTATTAGCACGTAAGTGAAATGTAATGAACTCGACTGGAATTCGAACTCGCCTCTCCGATTCATCAATCCGAGCCGCAATCCATTACGCCACTGTGCCTCTTCAGGTAAGAAGAGTTGGATTCATGCCTTTCCCTATGGTATTAGCACGTAAGTGAATGTAATGAACTCGACTGGAATTCGAACTCGGCTCTCTGATTCCTCAATCCGGACCGCAATCCATTACTCCACCGTGCCTCTTCAGGTCAGAAGAGTTGGATTCATGCCTTTCCCAAGGGTATTAGCACGTAAGTGAAATGTAATGAACTCGACTGGAATTCGAACTTGGCTCTGCGATTCCCCAATCAGTAGCCCTATGGATTAAAGTCAGTCAGTTATGTGCCATGGGTGATGCATATAAGGGAAGCGATAAGAATCGAACTATCCGCCCTAACTCAATGCAGGCTAGCGAGCTAACATTTGCCTCACGAATAAACGACATATAAATGACTGGGAAGCATAGCCAATTCTTTTTTCTTTCTTTTTTTTTCTTTTTTTTTTTTTTTTTGCTTGTTTTTGTTTCTTGTGTGTTTGTTTGCTTTTGGGGGTTTTCTTTTTTTCAAGTTTTAATGTAGCTATCCGTTATTTTGGTTCGCCCTATCCAGTGCATATTTAGTTAAAACAGGCAACCATCCAACTTTGTACGAGAACACATGCTGGCTTTTAATCTGTCAGAATGATTTAACACAAACCTGGAGGGAAATTCGGCTCAGGCCACTAGGCGTGAATTTACCCAGCTTTTATTTCAACGGAATTACTCACAATCAATTTCAATTAATTCTCTCGAAACTCAGGCTTTTCACCGTGCATGTCTGTATGCATCTGGGCGAAAAGAGGAACACGATTTTTACTCTAGTGCGTTTCTTTCTTCAAATTCAGTTGAGTGAAAGTTGATTTGCGTGTTTCCTAAGAGGTTAAAAGTAGTGAGGTCTTTTCAGCAACGTGACTTTCACAAAGATAACAGTTATGGATGATGTGTCCAAAGGACATACCCGTAACATATATGGTCGTATGAAACCCAAATGCATAATTTAGTCGCGTGATCTAAGTACACGTATATAAAGCGAAAAGTTAGTGACAGTGGTCGGTTAAAGATACAACATATTGAAACGAAAACCATCACAGGATATTCGTTTATTCAAGGTCCATTCTGGTTCTCAATACTCTTCATTATTACTATTATTTTATGACTAGTTTTATTCCATCTTATTATTGTTGCTTTTTATCCCAACAATCTGGCTCTATACACTCTTCATTATTACTATTATTTTATTACTAGTTTTATTCCATCTTATTATTGTTGCTTTTATCCCAACACTCTGGCTCTATACACTCTTCATTATTACTATTATTTTATTACTAGTTTTTTTATTCCATCTTATTATTGTTGCTTTTTATCCCAACATAAGCACTCTTCATTATTACTATTATTTTTATTGCTGTTTTATTCCATCTTCTTAATGTTGCTTTTTTATTCCAACAATCTATCTATACCTCTTCATTATTACTATTATTTTTATTGCTAATTTTATTCCATTCATTATTACTTTTATTTTTAACACTAGGCTCTATACACTCTTCATTATTACTATTATTTTCCATCTTCTTATTGTTGCTTTTATCCCAACTACTATTATTTTATTACTAGTTTTATTCTGGCTTTTATACACTCTTCATTATTACTATTATTTTATTACTATTATTACTATTATTTTATTACTAGTTTTATTCCATCTTATTATTGTTGCTTTTTCTCAACATTATTACTGGCTCTATACACCTTTCATTATTACTATTATTTTATTACTAGTTTTTATTACTCTTATTATTGTTGCTTTTTTTTAGTTTTATTCCATCTTCTTACATTCTCTGGCTCTATACACTTTCATTCATTATTTTACTTTTATTATTTTTGTTATCCCAACCCTCTGGCTCTATACACTTCATTATTTTATTCCCATCTTATTATTGTTGCTTTTTATCCCAACCCTCTGGCTCTATACACTCTTCATTATTACTATTATTTTTATTACTAGTTTTATTCCATTTTATTCCATCTTATTATTGTTGCTTTTTATCCAACAACCTCTGGCTCTATACACTCTTCATTATTACTATTATTTTTTTGTTGCTTATTACTAGTTTTTTTATTCCATCTTCTTATTGTTGCTTTTTATCCCTCTTCAACCTATTATTTTATTGCTAATTTTATTCCATCTATTATTGTTGCTTTTATCCCAACACTCTGGCTCTATACACTCTTCATTATTACTATTATTTTATTACTATTTTATTCCATCTTCTTATTTTGTTTTATCCCAACAGTCTGGCTCTATACACTCTTCTAGTTTTATTTCATCTTTTATTATTATACATCTTCATTATTATTTTATTACTAGTTTTATTCCATCTTATTATTGTTGCTTTTTATCTCAACCTAACTCTGGCTATACACTCTTCATTATTACTATTATTTTATTACAAGTTTTATTCCATCTTATTATTGTTGCTTTTTTATCTCCCAACACTCTGGCTCTATACATTACTTCATTATTACTATTATTTTATTAATCCCAGGCTCTTTTTACTCCCATTACTTTTATTCCAAAAGGCTTTATTATTAAAAGCAACAGTTGCTTTTTATCGATACATACTACTAGTTTTATTCCATCTTAGTTGCTTTTTATCCCAACCCTCTGGCTCTAACACTGAATTACATTAACATGTTTAGTTGATTCTTATATATGTGAGAAAGAAATGTCGAAAAAAAGTAATCATCGCCTAATACACGAGGCATATTGGAATTTCTAAAATTAATGATTTGTTACCGAAATGCACAAAAGCACGCCAAAAAAGTAACAGTCGACATATACGCGAGGCATGTAGTCACATAAATGAATCTGAAAAACTCAGTCGTTTGCCTATATATGTGAGAAACAAATGACGAAAAAAAATTAATTTTCGACCAATACACGAGGCATAGATGAATTTCCA